AATATTTCTGTTGAGGAGGGGTTGGAGGGGTGCTCAAAAACAATTCTTCCATGTTCGGACGCTTGCCATGGAGAGACTAGAAAAACGGCCCTATAAGCTTTTGCAGCCTTTTGCTTGAAAGTGTTGGTGGGGCCATGTGGGGCCATTTTTGCTCATGTTTCAACTTCCAAGACAGTCAGCCAGGACCCAGAGGGCTCTCTTTTCAACTCCGATCTGGTTGGCTTTAATGCCGCGCCTGGCACTGCGGTGGTGCCTGGCATGGGATCAGCAGCTCCCATCACCTCTGGGCAAGCAGGGGAGCAGCTGGGGAACACTGCAAGTGTGATGTCCTTCAAGTTTCCTTTCAACAACACATTGATGTAATTGCATTGTGGTTGATTTGCAAGTGAATTGCCTCATTCTTACAGCTCCGTTGTTCGCCATGCCAGTATCTATCTCAGGCTGAGTTTCCCTACGATCACTAGCTCGTCCAGTCCGCTCCAGATTCTACCCAGCTTTGTGGAAGTACTTGGACGCAAAATTGATAAAATTTGCGCTGAGAAGGACCGATTGTATGCAGTGCGGTGCCACCAATTATATTCCAACCTATTTGTGTCCAGACTTCTTCAATACCAGGAGCGGCTTCAGGGCATCAAGGCCCCGACAGCTTCAGCGTTCCGGGGCCGCAATATGCGGACATGCCTTAGTCATTGACCAAATCTATTGGAAGGGCAATCTTTTCTGTACTAGGCTGTCACTTCTTGGTTTGGGATGACCTAGGTTGCACCAGACTTTGACGACATACCATGGGAAGATGCAGAGTCTCTACGAAGCGCTGACCAATGTTCTTTCTGAAGCAACGGTGTCCCCTGAGACCTTTGACAAGTTTCTTAGATGCACTTAGATTCGCTTAGATTCACTGTCGCTTGCTTAATGTGTTCACTGGCAACTCTGTGTTTCAAACACCCTTGAAGCCCTATATCTCTTCCAGGGCGAAGCGAGACGACCTCACCGGCAAGTTTGTGGAGTGCACCAAATTGGATGTGGCTATGAATGCAATGCTCGTGCGTTCAAAGCTCCTAGCCCTGCACAACGGTTGGGGCAACAAAGCTAGCTAAAGGAATAGCAGCAGGAAATCATTGACAGGTATGTCTTTTTGGCAGTGTATCTGAAGTTGCCTCAAGAGAAGCCGTTCTATCCCAACCTTCAAGTTTTACTGCACCCCAAACGTTAAAGGAGCCTTAGAACAATATCAGCCTTCCACCTGGGAGTCGATAGGTCGATCGATAGCTCCTTTTCCACATCTCACCACAGGACCTACAAAATACAGTGAGGTGTCGGGTTCTTCCACGGTACGTGCTTGTAGCTCCATATAGTGAACACACAAAGCAGGACTTGGAGCCTTGCTTTCCAACACCTTCCACCCGTTTTTAGATTTCACAGTTCACCCTGGTGGCAACTAAGGGGAGTGAAATCGGAGGCAGGAGGCACTCAATCTGCAAAGTCGAAGGCGAAGCCGGCAAATAGCGCTAAGACCGCTAAGGCTAAGAACGATTCGAAAACCAAGTCCCACCCGAAGTCTCGGTCAAAAAAATCGGCTGACGACAAGGGGAAGACCAAGGGGGCCAAAACGGCCAAGCCTAGCCAGCAGGGTGCGCCCTAAGTCCTAGCAAGCGGATGCTTGGTGGTGCCTGGGGTTGTGTTCGAGCTGAGGGCGTGATGCGAAAACAATCAACTGTGGATAGCAAGCTTTTTGTTTGGGGATGGATCGCGCCGCAGCTCTTTTGACACAAAGGGCCCACCAAAAAAGATGTGTCTGCTAATTTGGTGTGTTTCAGATCTACCATTGTGATCCAGATATGACCCGCTTGGAAAAACCATGCCCTGGCAGTCGTGGCATGGTGTTTGAAAAAATCACATGGTATCGAACAAGCCCTCCCACTCAAGCACACCCCATGCAATCTAGTTGGGATGCCAGGTCATCGGGGAATTTCTCTGGCCACTCGGACAGGTGCGGGCCTGCGTTTCACAGTTTGACGGAAACATTTGAGATTAAGAGTATTTTTTGTGTAGCCTCAGGTAAAACTCTACAAGCATGCAAAGGGAATACTTCTGTTGGCCTGTCTGTGAAGGTTGCTGGGGTTGCTCTGATTCATCTGGTGAGTCAGATGACGACCTTCCGGGAGATATGATAGCCAACTTTGCCCATGGAGTTTCTTGTCACGAAGTTTTGCGACCAAAGACTGCCGTGTTTCCGGATCTTGTCTCTCCAGCTGAGGCTACGGCGAAGGACGTTGTATCCCAGGCCAAGAAGACGGAGAAACTCCTTTCCCGTCATGGAGCCTCGGCAATGTATATTGAGCAGGGAAATCGTTGCAAAACACATGGGTTGAACGAAATTCATGCTATCATGATCTGAGGAGTCTATGAACCGGCCATCTCTGACTTGGCGGCCTTGAGCAAGTTTGACAAAAAGAAGAAGAACCAAAGTAGGAACCTTCATCGTTTTGTAGAGAAGAAGGGTATCAATCTACAAGTGCCGATCACAAGGGTGCAAGCACCATTGCGAGCCAGGAAATTTAGAAGGAGAAACAAGATTGTTTGGGAACCTTGGCCGACCCTGATGCCCCGGGATTGGATGCGGGTGTGCTTGGAGCACCCAAGCTACCGTGGCATGCAAGTTTTGGGAGGTCATAGGCTGGAAGACCTTCCAGCTATTGAGTCCATGCTGAGCCAATTCTGGTCCAGATATCAATATCAGGACCCTGCTGTCGCTCCAATCGTGCTAACGAGAACAATTCCACTATTTGTGCACGGCGATGAGGGCCGTGGGCAAGTGAAGCGGCCCCTGATGGTAGTCAGCATTCAGCCCATTCTTGGTCTCGGTAAAGGGGAAAAGCTCAATTCCAAAGAGTACTCTCTCTACATGTTTGGCAAGTTCTTCTTATTTGTTGTTCTTCGGAGGGGGAAGTTTTGGCACTGGCACTACTGTAGTGATTTTGTGGTGGACACTGTCATGGTTTCCAAGGCACACCTATTTGACAAGGATGATATACACTTCAATTCCATCGGAGAGGTACGCTGGAAAAGGGGAAACAATACAGGTTCTGCTGGAAGCCTTGGTTGCAGATCTAAATGCTGCCAGCCAAGAAGGGGTACAGGTGCGGGGGTACATGTCGCAAAACCTTGCATGGTTGCATGATCATAGGTAGCTTGGTCTCCTCAATATGGTCCCTGATAGGTGAACTTTGAAGGCCAAAACATGACGTGGTATTGGCAATACTGTGGGACAAAAGGAGATTGGCCGTTCCTTAGAACGGCCTTCAAGTTGAAGACTGGCTACACTTCCCGAAGGATATGCCACTTGTGCGAAGGAACAGACCCTTAGCTTATCGATATACCTTCTGGTTTGAAGGAGTTGTGACTCTACCTGCTGCCCCTTCCCCCACCCAAACTCGGTGAAATTGAGGATTGGCACGACTTGACAGCCAATGGATCAACGCGAGCTTTTTCCCGTAATGATCGTGCTGAGAGTCCGTTCCATTCTGGCCCTCGAGCTGCACTCCGAAGTATCCAACCTCATCAAGACAGTGTCGCACAAATCAAGACGGACATTGCCCATACTTATGCCATTGCAGGATATGGCAAGGATGAGCTAGCCAGCCATCTAATCTTCTTAGCAGTGAGATGTTCTTTGTTTTCACGGGCCCCATTTGAAGAACAACTTGAAGACGCTTTTGCTTCCTTCAATGAATGGTGCCAGCGACGTCACAAAACATCTACAATCAAGGAATTTTCCAAGTCTGAACTCAAAATCACATCGTTACTCGGAGGACAGTAAGCCTTTCTTGGTGGCATTGTCGACTAAGCTTACAACAGGCCTCAAACATGTTTCATGACCCCTCAGGCTTCAAGACTATCCGCGTGGCCTTGGAAAGGGAAGTGATGCCTCGTTGATAGCTAGATGGTTGGAGGATGTCCTTGAACAGGTGACAGCTGACATGGTTCCTGATACCTGCTTGGAAATACCAGTAAACCTTTCTATTCTTGCAGTTCTAGTGGGCATTGGCTCTTCCATTCCATTCGCCTGTTGGACACGTGCTAAAGCTTAGGACAATTGCCAAGATCTTTTCAGAGTGGTCAAATGGAGCCTGCACGTTAGCAACCGCTTTTTCCGTGCATGTTATGGCAAGCTTTGGCTGACCCGCCAAGAAGCAGAGCAAGCTGTGGCAGATGGGTGGTCTATGACAGAACCTTGCTCAAGAAGCATGTAAGCTTTCCTTGTTGTCGCCAATCCTACAAACTAGGCTTACAAAAGCTGATTGTTGTCGCCAATCTCCAAATCAATGCTTGCTCTGCTAATAGGAGGCTTATGGAGCCATGGCCTACCTGAGCAAGCAACAGAATTGGAGCCTCTACTATCTTCGCCCAAAAGTACACATGATGCAACACTGCGTGCCACATAGAAGCACTAATGTAAGACTTAGCGGTGATGTGGTGTGCAAAGACCTTCCCAACTCATGTGTTTCACATAAGGCTTGACCTTCGATATCCTTTAGAGGATCCTGAGTGCCGGTTTGTATTAAGTTTGGGTGCTCTGGCCTGTTGGTCAGATGAAGATTTTATTGGGAGAGTGGCGAGAGCTGAACGCCGGACCCACAGTTTGGCCATTGTGGCAACACTGAAAAAGGTGTTGATTGAATATGCCTTTCAATGGCAGAAAGCTTCCCGGAAAGCTTCCAAGCGTTCGGATCCAGCTGGGCTACCCGGCTGATGACTGTGTGCAAGGCCCAGGACAAAGTGTGATTGTGCATGTTGTGGGTTGTTGTGGAGGGTGAGACGAAACATGACAAAACATAAACGAGCACTTTTTTGCAAACGAGGCAGACTTGTCTCGAGGCAGAAATTTGTGGTTGTTGGAGGTTCTAGGTATATATATACATATCTCATTCATGATTGGATATATCGTTGTGGTCAGCTGTTGCTTCCAGAAGTTGCGAATCTTCCACGACATGTGGCAGGCTGGGTGGCGTTGGTGTCGGTGACCGCTGATGGCGTCGCCGCCGGCGTCCCGCGGTGTCCCGCGGCCTCGCGCGCGCCGCTCTCCAAAGTGAGAGCAGCGTGGCTCGGCTGAAATCGGCCAGCGGAGGTGCCACAAGTCATGAATTGATTGGGTGACAGGAATGTTGGCTTTAGATGTTTCTGGGTGGCGGGGTTCATTCATCCACAGCATGAATTGACGATCCAAGTGTTCATTCGAGGACCCAACAAAAAAATCTACCAGGTCGCTAATTTAGAAGCCTATTGGACTATTTGGGGTTTGTCCTATTACCTGCAACAGTCGGTTAACAGTTATCACTACTCTAGAGAATGGCCTTTACTAACCTTCGTCATCCACTGATCCACTGGTGATGATGTTGTAGTAATATTCAGTATCGATGGCCGTCTCTCAGAAAGGGGGGGCTGACCAGCATCAGGAGCCAGTCCTTTGTGCAGGGGGGAAGAGGAGTTCAGCCATGTGCCTTGCAGTGCGAAGGAGACACCCTTGGTGTCGCCAAGAGGATCCAACGGTCCCGGTATTGTATTGTTTGGTGGTGTTTTTTGCGGCAACTCCGGCGGGTGATCGATGCTATGTCGCATAGATCGCATGTCGATTGATGAGAGACCCAGTGCCTTGTCTAGAGGGTCGGTAGCCATCTTTTGATCATTCTTTGCACTGCATCGCTGGGAATGAAAGGCGCTTTGCATGAGGTCAAGTGCAGTTGAACATGGGGAGATCATGCAGGCATTTGAGCCCTCCTTCTGTTGTGTTGAGCAGTGCAAGGATGAACAATGGAAGAACATGAGGCGCATCCGTTGAAAAGTGCAGGTTCCGGACTGGTTGCAGCTGGTGAAAAGAATTAAGGTAGTACGTACATCAGATTGACTTTGAGAGTACAACTTGTGAGACAAACCAGCTGGACATGATGTCAAACCTTAAACCTTCCATCTCTCAAGCCACTTGAGAACAACACGCTGACTTGTGATGATGAGATGTGATGAGGGTTTTTCCACGGGTGTTTCCATGACAAAATGAAGAACGTCGGTGGGGTCAGTTAGTGGGTTTGTCCAATCACATTTTGTCTATAGAGTATGCAATTTGTACCTTCAAGGCTTGCTGATGTTTGGATCTTGGGTCGAAGCTGGTCGTCAATGCAATTGCATGGGTGTGGGCCAACAACTGCCTAGAGCCCATTTAATTTGACCTCTGTTTTGAAAGGTGTGTATACATTCAAACCTGCTTCTGATCGTAGAGAACTTCTAGGGCACCCTGGCCTGATGTCCTTATGTTCAAATTAGGCAGCACCCCAGCTAGAACAGGATCCGCGTGTTTATCTTTGTTGATCGCCTTAACTGCAACACCCCTCTTTTCTGTACTTCCTGTACTTCCAAGCCCCGAGTTGCCGGTGGGTGTTGGTGTGTTCACCACCAAGTCCTATTTCGAAGCGTGCTGCACGGAACATGTGCCGGGCTGTCCCGGGGCTCGGGCGACCGGCGCCGGTCAGGGCACCGGGCGCCTGGCCCAGCGCGTCTTCTACCAGCGACCCATCTTGAGGCGGGGCTCGAAGCGTCGCTTCGGACGGGATCGCCAAGCTAGGCTACGGTCCGGTTGCATCGGGAGGTCCGACGCATGCCGTGAAATCAAAGGGAGTTACATCACGAGAGATGGGATGGGTCCAAATGTTCAGGTTGATCTGGATTGAGAATGGTGTGGTCACCATTTGGCAAGTGTTTCTTTTTTTTGCCATCCTGTGGTTGTTGCTTTTGGGAGAAGGCCAACCTCAATGCAAACCAAGAGGGACCCCATCAGACTACCCCCAGGATCAATTTGCAAGTGATCCTTTCTATGTCAAACTCGTGGATTTAACTTTCTTGGACCTCCTCTCGAAAAGTATGTCAAATGGATTCAAATGGTTTCGTATCAATTTGGGAAGCTCCTTTTCTTCGCCTTTCTCCGAGTGGAAAGTTCATGGACCTGCAGCCATGCTCAAACCTTGAAATCAAGAGGCGGCAAGTATTCTCGAAGTAAGCAACGACTCGCAGATCAGGCTGTGTCCCTACCCCATCTATGATCTCTGTGTTGTTCTCGTGTTGCTTTCACAAAAACCAGCTGAGACTGGAGACGGAGAACAGGCTGGAGACACGAGATGACTGAGACGACGCTTCCTCAGAATCGGAGGATGTGCAGGTCGTCTGAGGAAGCCGATTTGCATGAAAACACCATGATGACATTGACATTTAACTGTTGGAGATGTTTGGGGGATGTGTTTGGTTGGTTCGCTCTGAGTGGTGCGAAAAGGATCGAATGCGTAGGAGAATACTCAAAGAGTTGTCACTTAGTGAAGTAGGTCACGGTAGGTCCTGTGACACCAGCGGAGAAAACGAACTGATCAAGGCAGTGTTTTTCAGGCGAAACAGCGAAAAAACACATGGAACACCCAACACCCCCGGTCTGAGCGGCTGGCACTGCGTGGGGTTCTTGCTCCCCTCATGGAGCAGACCAATGGATTTGCTGCGGATCTGGCACTGGGACCGTGATTTGGCCTCTCTCATTGCCAGGCGGGTGACGAGTGGGACGGATGGTGAGTCCCAGGCGGTGAGCCACCGGGGTGATCTGAAAAACCGTAGAAGGACCAGGATTGAAGTGAATCCTCAGGTCGTTAGGAACTGGCCATCAGGGCCCACATATTATAGTGACATATATATAGTGACTGTACTAGCACCATCCCCCAAAAAACGGGTGTTTTAGGGTTGTACAGCCCCTGAAGATGTATGTTCCATCCAATAACCACCCGAAACGGGTGGTGCTGAAAAAGAGGACTATATATATATAATATATGTTTTTGGTTGGGAAAAGGATGGACAAGGTGTCGCTCTGGAACATGTGGGTGTGTTTTGGATGTTTAGGGAGCCGAGAGTCTGACCCTAGTTGGGAAGCGTTTTTGGCTCACTTCAACAGGACGACCTGTTTTGGTTTGGTTGGACCTGCAAGTGACCAAAGCGGAGATCGAAGTTGCATGATGTGGCTCAAAGAAAGAAACAATGATCGAAATAGAAAGAACCTGAAAGAACTTAACATGGTGGAATTCTGGAACTAATTTTCATCCATGTGTTACATCCACGAGAAGGGTTCCAACATCCTTATGTTTGTAAGCAACATCAGCCAGAAGGTTTGGCAAAACCAATGCCTTGGGTCGTCACGAGAAACCATACACTTTGTCCATTTCTCATAGCAACTTCATGCGTTTTCGATTACTCTCCCTGGAACTAACATGGAAGTGGACAACCACCTGTTTGTATGGGAAATTGTCTTCCAAGGGGCCATTATCCACTTCATGTTAGTTCCACTGGAGTGTAAGTTCGATCACTTGAACTTGGAAGACGTTGTTCCACACGTGCCTTTTCTTGGGGGTTGTTTAGAGACGACCTGCGCTTCTCAGTGGCTGAATAGTGGCTCGGCTCAAGCCGTCGGACAAAGATGACAATAACACGACACGCGAACCAGGGGTTGCTGATGTAGTTGATTGGTGCCTTTCTTTGATGATGATGATGTTGTTGTTGTTGTGTGAGTGAAATGCAACAGGTTATCCATGGCCTGAAGTGCAAGTTAATGTCGACGTAGGATTGATCAACGGCCCAACCCTTGAAGGTCAACAAGGTCAACAAGTTTGAGATTGGAGGTTTAGGAGACCACATCCCGCTAATAAAGGCTGATAGAGTTATGAAAGAATTATGCTAGAGAGGTTTTTAGGGATTGTGGAACAATGGATGCTGACCAGAAGGTATTGGATACTGGGCTTGATAGTAAATAACAAGTAATATAAATACACATATATTAGTGTAAACTACTTTGTTTTTCTGGGGCAGCTGGGCTTTATTAATATGGGGAGATTTCTGCCAAGGGAAACTTTATTAGGGTGATGGACATGTGGAATTTAGGTTTTTAATTGGTTTGGTATTGGGTGCTCGAGCTGATTATATATGCCTACAACTACAATTGCTATGTTATAGCTACTCCGAAGGCTCCAAAGCTATTGGATCTTTGTCATTGCGCTGAAACCCGAAGCTCCTCAGGGTCAGAGTCAGATTCCCTCAACATACGCCAGCAAGGACCTGTACAAACATATGCATGTTATTTGTTAATCTGTGATTAGTTGATTGCAGGAAGATGCAGTACTTGTTGCAGCAACCAGGATAAATCCGAGGGATACTCGGCCCTGGATTAAGTAACCTCCGGTGAACATCGCCTTTACTCGGAGTGAACCTCTCGAGCTGGAGAGAGCTCTCGGTACCAAGAGAATCAAGAGATTAGGCAAACCCACTGCCCCCTTGGTAGATAAGCTTGAAAATCCTTAAACACCTTTCTTGGACCTGATTGATCACTCAAATTGATGAACCGGAGAGGTCAGGGCCTAGGCCTTATGTTCCAAGCTGAAGAGGGTTGGAGTGTTTCGGACCCTCCCTCAGAATCCCACCGCCATGCCAGGCATCACTTATCGCCCCGGCTGGTGGCCATGATGACGGAGCTTTGGACGTGCAGTTCCCGGACATTGCGGACCGAACAGGAAGCAAGGTCGACAAGTCTCAGCCCAGCGCACCGTCCTGTGTCGCTGTAAATGGGGTTGTGCCAAGTGATTAGGGGTGATGAACATGAACAGGAAGGATTAAGGGATGAAGGATGATGCTTTTGTGGTGATTTGTGTCTTTGCTTTGGGCCTTTGGGGTAAAAGACAGGAAGAAGTCACACAAAAAGCGACTTGCCATGGTAGCTTGGGTTGCTTTTGGCTCCAACTCCCTCCAGGTAAACTCTCAAGCTCCAAACTTTGAGGGATTCAGAGGTCTATGGCGGCTCCGAGTCCTTCTTGCTCCACCCCATCCCCGGAACAAACGTTCCAAAGCCTTCCCGCAAAAAGACATCGCCCCCCCAAAAAAAGAACTGCTCACCGCGATCAGAACGATCAGGAGGAGGGAGACTTTTTCGACCGTTTTAATGCGCTGTTGGACCGTCGGGCGAGTCGTGAAAAAGCAAAACTCAATATTCCGAGGTGTGAGAAAAAGAAGATCATGTTTAAACAGGTATAGACACAGAACCGGACCATTCTTGTTTGCTGCTGTTTTCATCTCCGAAAGTTACAGG